AATCGCTCAGAGCCAGCAGCTCTGCAAGGATTGAGTGATCAATAAATTGAAAGGAAAAAAAAAAGACCCTTTAAAAGGTCTTTTTGTGAGCGGAGCTGCAGCCACCATTATAACGTTATGAAGGTTGCAGCTGCAACAGCCCCCTCCTTCCCTGCTGAAAGATTTAAAGGGCCCCTCCAGCTGATCAGCGGGCCATGTGCTCCTCGCAGATCAGCTGAGGCTCTTTAAATCTCTGCAGGAGGAGAGGGAGAGGTGGCTGCGGCTTGGGGGCGGGGCTTCCCCAGCTGGCCAGGGCAGATTGGAGTCCCCAGAAGAGGGGGAACCCCCGCCCAGACCTGGGGGCTGGCAACCCTAGTTTTACCATATACTCAATAGTTATACAACCTCTACGTGTTTGCATGCAGCTTTGTCAGGGGAGATCTAATGAAATTAAAAAATAAAATATCTTTAATAAATTTAAACATTGATAAGATGTAGGACATTTTCACATAGCATGTACAGAGTTCAATTCATACTAAGTTGCAGTTTATTTATTTAATTGGATTTTAACTGCTCCCCCCCCCCCCCGCCAAAGCAGGGCTCAAGGCTGTGCACAACATAATAACTTATACAATCCAGAATTAAAATATACAAACCATTAGAACATGGTAATTAACCTAAAAGATGGCATTAAAATTAGTGCCAGTGTCTCATGGGGGTAGGCAGGGAGGGAGTGCTAGCGGATGCAACCATTTCTGCCCTCTACCTCTATCCAGTGCCTGCCGGAACATCTCTACCTTAACAGGCCCTGCGGAACTTTAGCAAGTCCCACAGGGCATGGATGATATCCAGAAGAGAGTTCCACCAGGTTGGAGCCAAAGTGGAAAGTGCTCTGGCTCTGGTTGAGAATAGCCAGACATCCCTTGGGCCAGGGACCACCAGTTGATTCGGATCTACCGAGCACAACACTCTTCTGGGGGTATGCCGGGAGATGCAGTCTTGAAAATACATGCATCCCAGACCATTAAAGGTCTTAAAAGTCAACACCAAAACCTTGAACCTGATCCACACGGTGGATATGTGCTGTATTCAGAGACCCAGTAAGGACCCGTGCAGCTGAATTCTGTACCAGCTGGAATTTTCAGGTCAGTCTCAAGTGTAGGCCCATGTAGAGCGAGTTACAAAGCAATATTAACATATACTATAGAGTACATTTTTGTAAAGAATTCACAATTTAGATAAGTTTGTTAATTTGGACATTTTTTATCTTCATTGATACCTACCACATATGGGGGGGGAGTTAACACGTTGTGTAAATGCTCCTTTGATCTCAAAAACAATTAGTTATTTCACAATGAAAATAAACTTTTATGTAATAACATTGCTGGAACAATTGTAATTTCTACGACATAAAAAGCCAGAATCTCCTGCACTGACATATGTTGTTATTGTTTGCTGTTTTGACTGAGCTCCAGCTTTGGACAGTCTAACACAACTCTAAATTCAAGGAGAGAGAAAGGTGTTTTCAGAAGAGTTATCTGACAGGTCTGGTTCATACATGACATTTACAAGTCTATACCTAACATGAATTCCCAACATTCAGACAGTCACAATATGGGCTGTTCAGTTTCTATTAACATTGGCCTGCAGGGAGTCACCACAGAGATTTATAGAACCATGCAAGGAGAAACTGCACCGAGAAACATTCCCCCTCTCATACAATACCAGCACTCCAGGCACCCAATGGAATTAATGGACAACAGATACAGAATAGATAACAAGCGGGAAGTAGTCAAAGAGCCAAGAGTGGCATAGTAGTTGGAGTGCTGGAGAACAATTTGGGGCAACTGGGTTCAAATCCTGTCTCTGTCATAGACGCTTGGGCCACAATCTCTCTGCCTGTTGGCCTGAGGATAAAGCAGAGATAAGAAGAATGCTGTGAGAAGGTGCTTTCAGTCCCCAATAGGAAGAAAAGCATGATGAACAAATTTTAAAATGTCTATGGATGTACTAAGTAATAACATATACAATTAGCATATATAATATATCCTAGATCAGAGGCTGGCCAGATGGTGCAGCCTGATTCCCCAGCAAGTGTTCAACTCCCAAGTACGCTTTAAAGCTGAAAACACTTTATTGAACACATGCATTAAAAGTTCACAGACTTACAATCTGGCTGGGAATGTATGAGAATGTCCATCTTCAGCGTTTAGGATCCAGTTGTGTGATTTAGCGGTGAAAAGAGAGATGTTTACACATAATAATACTTTCTAGCAATATGTTATTCTTAGCGAGTCCTACTTGTATGCTCCACAGCCCTTATTTGGGGACCTCGCGTTATTGGGGACCTCTTCTTTTAAATATATATATATATTTGCTGAAAGCGGCTAGCAACCCCCCCAACTACAACCAGTTAATGCATAAATTAAAAAGGGAAAATGATTATAATTCTTTTAAGCTGCCTTGCATAAAGTATGCAAAGTAAACTGTGGTCCGGTAACAAAACATGCAGCGGTCCACTGAGACTCATGTCCAAAGATTTTTTTTATACAACTTTTATTTTCAAATGTTTCACAAACAGACCAATATTCCCTATAACGTCGACTTTTCCCATTCATCCCGGAAATTGAAGGTGCGTGGTGCCGCTCTAGCCTTTCTCTATGGTGATCACAGACTAATTCCACCTCGCCGGCCAAATACGGAAACGCCCTTTTACGACGTTCTGTGGGAGCCGATCTACTTCCTTGCCCTACAGCTCTAGCCGTTTCCTCCCGCCTCTATGATGACCTCAAGCGGTGCCTTGGCACGCGACGTGGCTCTATCTTTGTCTCACTCTGCTCTCTTTCACCACTTTCCTCTCACGGTCCAGCGTCCGCGGTTGGCTCTTCGCCCCTCTGCGTCATTCTACGTCAAAGCGCACGCGCCACCCCCGTGACGCGCCGGACTTTCTCTGACGCCGAGGACCGCGGGCGTCTTTTTTCTTCCCGGCTCCTCCCCTCCCGGCCGCTCCGACCCGCCCACCCCACGACCGGCCGCAGCGATGGCGCTGAAGATGGTGAAAGGGAGCATCGACCGCATGTTCGACAAGAACCTGCAGGACCTGGTGCGGGGCATCCGCAACCACAAAGAGGACGAGGTACCTACGTGCACAGGGGAGGAGAGGAGGGGCGGCACCTCTGGGGGGGTCCTTGCGTTGAAATGCTGCTCTTCCTCCCCTCCAAGACTTTGCATGCAGTCTGTGCCGCTAGATGCAGATCTGTGCGTGCGTGCGTGTGTCCCCCCCCCCACTCCACTCGTGTTTGGTAAATTCTCTTGCTGGCCGATCGAATAGTTCTTAGCGTATCTGTAGTCCGCCTTGAGTCCCGGTGGAGAAAAGACGGATTGTAAGCGAAGCTAATCATATTCCTAGCTGTAGGGGGAGGTGGGGCCGAGAAGTCATTTGAATGGGTGCACAGTAAATAATCCCGTTTTTATAGGAAGCTGTGATAAAGGCAATTTGGTGTAGTGGTTAAGTGCGTGGAGAACCGGGATTCTCCACTCCTTCACTTGCACCTGCTGGATGGCCTTGGGCAAGCCATAGTTCTGGGCACAGCTGTTCTTGAAAAAGAGCAGTTTCTGTCAGAGCTCTCTCAGCCCCACCTCCCTCCCAGGGTGTCTGTTGTGGGGAAGGGAAAGGAGTTTGTAAGCCGCTTTGCTGGCCTATTCTCTTAATGTATCTGTAGTCCGCCTTGAGTCCTGGTGGAGGAAGACGGATTGTAAGCAAAGCTAATTTCTATGTGCGTGTGTGTCCCCAACTCCTGTTTTGTAATTCTCTTGCTGGCCTATTCTCTTAATGTATCTGTAGTCCGCCTTGAGTCCTGGTGGAGGAAGACGGATTGTAAGCAAAGCTAATCATACTCCTAGCTGTCGGGGGAGGTGGGGCCGAGAAGTCATTTGAATGGGTGCACAGTAAATAATCCCGTTTTTATAGGTCCCTGGGACACTGAAAATGCCACTAGGTGTTATTAGCCGTCACATGCAGGAAAGGGGTGGTACAAATGCAGCTGCAGATACAACACTTCAAATGTTAACAGTCATAATAAGAGGCTTATTGAATCTCTATGTGTGTGTGTGTCCCCAACTCCTGTTTTGTAATTCTCTTGCTGGCCGATCTTATAGTTCTTAACGTATCTGTAGTCCAGCTTGAGTCCTGGTTGAGAAAGACGGATTGTAAGCAAAGCTAATCATACTCCTAGCTGTATGGGGAGGTGGGTCCAAGAAGTCATTTGAATGGGTGCACAGTAAATAATCCCGTTTTTATAGGAAGCTGTGATAAAGGCAATTTGGTGTAGTGGTTAAGTGCGTGGAGAACCGGGATTCTCCACTCCTTCACTTGCACCTGCTGGATGGCCTTGGGCAAGCCATAGTTCTGGCACAGCTGTTCTTGAAAAAGAGCAGTTTCTGTCAGAGCTCTCTCAGCCCCACCTCCCTCCCAGGGTGTCTGTTGTGGGGAGGGGAAGGGAAAGGAGTTTGTAAGCCGCTCTGAGACTCCTTTGGGTAGTGAAGGGCGGGGTATGAATCCAATCTCTTCTTCTTCTTTTACCTCACAGGGTGTCTGTTATGGGGAGGGGAAGGGAAAGGAGTTTGTAAGCCGCTCTGAGACTCCTTTGGGTAGTGAATGGCAGGGTATAAATCCAATCTCTTCTCTTCTTCTCTTTATATCTGTGTGGATAGGCAGGGTGAGAAAAGCTTCCAATAAGTGCTAATAGTTGCAGTAGCATGCTCAGACCCCAGAAGCACTAAACAAATGCCTGTGCTGTTAATCTTATGCAAGAAGTATACTGATACTAATAGTTTTAATAGCATGTTTATCAAGGGCTCAGAATCCCAAAATGTTTTTATAGTTCGTGTAATAACAGTGGTGCTTACAGAATTTCAAGTGTCTTTAAAACCATGTGTAAGTGCAACTAAGTAAGTGTGTAGGCGATGTGGAAGCATGATGCTGCCAGTATTAATTATAATAGCATTGATAAGGCACCAGAGTCTGAAGGTGTACGTAAGTGTCCTTATAACAGTAGCAGTATGATTGTACTAATTATGGCTATTAAAGGTCAGAGGGTGATATATAACGTCACCACAAGTGGTAATTCTTAGGATTGTACTTTCTATGCTTAATATTAAGTATAATAGTATTTACGTGGTGTTTCAGAGCTTCCAAAGCACTCTATAACGGCTGCTTTTATAACAGTGAGTCAGTGTGGTGTAGCGTCCAGAGCACTGAAGTAAGATCTGGATGACCATGAAGCTGGTAAAGTTACTATTAGTGGTTGTCATACACACGCCTTAACCTACTTCACAGGGTTCTTTGTGAGGCTAAAACATGGAAGGGAAAGTCATGTGTACTGCTTTAAGTTTTTCAAAAGAAGTGTGAGATAAAAGCACACCAAGCTGATAGACAATATTAACTTGCCTTTTCCGTGGCTTGTAATTATTAAAATTAAAAATGGGTGGCTTGTAATTATTAAAATTATACTTTTCTGTGAAATTATACTGGCTTTTGCAGTATCTCCACTGTGCGGCATATTGCGTATCTTATACAGGAAGTATGTGTGGCAATTTTACCTTATTCTCCCTCCAAATAGTTCTCTCCCATTTCATCTTCACAACAGTCTGGCGATATAGGTTTGGCGAAGTGTGTGGCAGGGCCCATGTCACCCAGTAAACTTCATAGCTGTAGGGGAGAGGGCAAAAACTCAAGAACCCCCAGTCCAACACTATAACTGCATCACTGTGTTGGGTTTGTGTCAGCTAATGCTGCCATTTAATGGAATGTGTGGGTTCCTGTCCATGTCTCTCACTCCCCCTTCCTGCTTCTTTACGTCTTGAGCTGTTATCATAGTGTATTGCCTGCTCCTAGCTTCCCGCCGGGAATATAACTGTTGTGTTTTGCCCGCGTTCCCAGGTGCCTGCTCATTGGCCTTTTCGTATCAGGGGGTCTTGTATGAAAGGGGGTATATCTGGGGTTTCTTTTACTATCCCTCCATTCCTGACACAGAGGTTCATGGTGTCTTAAGTAAAGGTTCCCTTGCTCAAAAGCCAGTCGAATCCGACTCTAGGGTTGCGGTGCTCATCTCCGTTTCAAAGCCGAACAGCCAGTGCTGTCCGAAGACATTTCCGTGGTCATGTGGCCGGCATGACTAAACACCAAGGTGCACGGAACGCAGTTACCTTCCCACTGAAGTGGTACCTATTTATTTACTCGCTCAAAATAAACTGAAACTTCTGAAGGAATGTTGTTGAGTGTGATTGATTGAAGCCCCTGACAGTTTGTCAATAATAATAATAATAGCATTTAAATAGTGTTGCAAAGATTTGAAAATTATTATTATTATTCCTTCAGTGTGCATGCTGCCTCAAGAGTGTGGGAAAATTGGAAAAACCCTTCTCTCTTCGCTCCCCCCCCCGCAGGCCATCTGGGGAAGGGAAGGGGAGGCTTTTGAAGATGCCTCCCCCCTTTTGCTTCCCCTTCTTTACTTGCTTCCACTTCTGACATCACTTCTGGTGATGTCAGGGGGCGTGGCATGTGTTAATGAGTTATTATGCTAATAGCTTATTATGCTAATGAGCTTCTGCAGCTCTTTTTCTATGAAATGACCCTTGCCTGAGAGACTTACAGTCTAAAGTTTTATGAAAGGGAGACAAAGTTGTGGATCCACAAGGAAAGAATATACATTCCTTCATGTTACAGATACCCAGGGTTAGTGTATGAGTGGGCAAGAGGTAGTTAGTATTAGAACAGTAACAATATGGTTATTGATTCAGGTGGGTAGCCATGTTGATCTGAAGCAACAGAACAACGTTTGAGTCCATTGGCATGGTTAAGACCAACGCAGTTTAATTCTGGGTATAAGGTTTCGTATATACGTTTTTCAGACTCAAAATATGGTTATGAGAGCCAGTTTGGTGTAGTGATTAAGTGCACGGACTCTAATCTGGGAGAACCGGATTTGATTCCCCACTCCTCCACTTGCACCTGCTGATGTGACCTTGGGTCAGTCACAAGCTCTGGCACAGCTGTTCCTGAAAGAGCAGTTTGTGTCAGAGTTCTCTCAGCCCCACCCATCTCACAGGGTGTCTGTTGTGGGGAAGGGAATGGAAAGGAGTCTGAGACTCCAAGTAAATCCAATCTCTTATTATTATTATTATTGTACTTTGCACATATTTCATCTCATTGTAGTCCTTCCAGCAGCCCTGGCTGTTGCATTCCAGACTGATGGGAAAGGCAACAGTAGCCAGGGGTTTCTTAGGGACAGGATGGGCAAAAGTAATAACTGATTGCATAGCTGTGTTCAAACAGAGGTTTAGCGTCTTCAAAGAGCTATAGAAATGCTGTTTTTATTGTTGTGTATATGATGTAGCACTCTAATGCTGCTAAGAATCGCAGCGTTGGTTGTGCTTTGGAGATTTTAAAGGGCTTGTACACCCACATTCACAAGGTTGTTAATATTTTTATTAGACTAAGGGAGGAGATGGAGGTGAGCGGCTGTATCATACTTTCTCTGTTTATTCCCTGTATCATACTTTCCCTGTTTCTTATTCCCTGTTTATTTCATAGGAACATCTAGCTAGCCATAGTTGGAAACCAGATGTTGAGCTCAGTGGCCTTTCGGTCTGGCCTTTCCCCATCACCTGGTCTTCCTGTGCTTTCTGCTCCTGAGAAAACTGTCCCTGGCTTTTCTTTGGGAATATTTCTCTTCTATCTGTCTCCCCACCAAAGTGCAAGTACAGCCAGGTCTGTTGTAAAATTGAACATTCTTAGATGTTGAACAAAGTTTTAGTCCAGTGGCACCTTTATGACCAACAAAGTTTAATTCTGGGTATAAGCTTTCGTGTGCATGCACCCTTCTTCAGATAACATTCGTGGGCATGCATATGAAAGTTTATACCCAGAATTAAACTTTGTTGGTTTTAAAGGAGCCACTGGACTCAAACTTTGTCCTGTTGCTTCAGACCAACACAGCTACCCACCTGAATCTATTCTTAGGTGTTTGTTTTTATTTTAAAATCAGCTGTTGCCCCTTTACAAACATCTTTCCTATGTTGACTTTTGAAGCAGATGTAAGCACAGAGTCAACACATACAACAAACAGTATGCAG